AGTGAGCTCTGAAGGCTGGACAAAGGTTTGCAAGGGGCCTCCAATCTGTCCACTTGGGCTGTTCCACGTTTGTGTGACATCAAGTATTACTGTCTATCTCAGAAGACACTGAAGTCTCCATTCGAGGTGGCTTAGAGGTAGAGTTGGAATTCTCCACCACTGTCATATTGGCTTTTGAGTCACGGTAGGCTATACTTATGTAACAAATGGATCCCAAATCAATTGACCCCAACAGTAAATAAGTTGATTTCTCTGCTTAGAGCAGGGATTTCAAGGGAACAGACAGCTATCCTCCAGGGGTATTGCACAAAGGCTCTTAACGTTTTTCTTGCCGTGGACTCATTTACCAATCTGACGAAGCCTAGGGACCCTTTCTCAGAATTGTACTTGTAAATGCATAACATAAAATGCATAAGATTACAAAGGAAGCAAATTATATTGAAGTTATCAAAATACTTAAAAAGAAACCGTTATAGTAATACTCAGGCTTCCTTACTAATGCATTAAATGACATGATTTAGTGTGGTCCTAATAACTACTATAATTTTATTTTATTTTTTTTAATTAATTTATTTTTTTTTAACAGAGACCAGAAGAAGTAGCTTTATTTGGACTCAAGAGTTGGAGGATGAGAGTAGGACCTGAGATAGGCTATTGAGTAGAGACTAGGTTCCAAAATGGAAATCAAAGTTCTTCAACCAAATTGACTCTACTTCCCAGCAGCTTTACAGTTAGTGCAATCAATAAAAGGTGTGCTAGCCGGTGGCCGGTTACTCGGTGAGAGCATGGTGCCAAAAAAAACGCCTGCTGGGAAATGTATTTGCCACTAAATCACCTAAGTGTGCCACCATTACATGGTGGCCGGTTACTCGGTGAGAGCATGGTGACAAAAAAAAAAACGCCTGCTGGGAAATGTATTTGCCACTAAATCACCTAAGTGTGCCACCATCACAAAATAGGCACAGGTCTTCATAATTAAATTCCCACAAAACCCCCAAACCACAATTATTACAAAAGGGAGTTAAAAAATCACATCTTACAGATTTTAAACTTCAGCATTTAGCTCCAAATTTCATCATCTTCAAAAAACAGCTCCTCTGCTAAGCTCATCATCTATAAGATCTATCGAAGAAGTCATAAGATGGCCTTTGCTACCCGATGGTAATCCTCTTCCCATTTTCTCTAGCCAGTCAGTACTGAACAGCAGGGTAAGGCTCAGGTGGGAGTGAGGACTGGGAGCACAAGGGCTAATTTCCCCCAGTGCAACATGACATCTGGAGCTTTATGGGAAGAGCAGAACTGGTGAGACTTGAGGGAAGGGTCCAGGTCCTGTATTCAGTCAGAGTCACTGCTGGAAGAGGAGGAGGAGGAATGCTTGCCATGCTTGTGGTGTTTGTGCATCTTTTTATGGGCTTTCTTCATTTTCTTCCTCATCTTCTTGTCCATCATCATTCCTGGTGCTACCATGCCAGGAGCCAAGGGATTAACAGGAGGCATGCCAGGGGCAGGTAGTGGATGTGGAGGAGGGTAGGGGCCTGAGGGTTGGCATCCTGGATACCCTGGCTGTGGCACAGGATGAGGGGGCCCACATGGGGGAAAAGCTGGATTCCCCTGGGGAGCTACTGGGGGAGTGGGAAAGGGGCCTGGAGGAAAGGCCGGATTGACAGGTGGTGGATGGGCAGGATTGGGACCTCCAGGGTACCTGACGTTGGGGGAATATGGATTTGGCCCTGGCTGCCCGGTATTAGGATTCCACATGTTCAGGTGTTTTTCCCAGCCTTTCCAGCGTTGGGCTTGATTCGTCCTTCTTCCCAATCTCGGCTCTCACTTCCTGGTCACCACCTGCGCATGCTTCGGCACCCCAATAATAACTACTATAATTTTATAGTGATGAGTGAAATGATATTTCAAAATATCTGTAATACTTTCCTGTGATATGAAAACGTCTGATTTCTGTTGGTGACAAAGTCACTGTGGCTTGTGGCCAGCATTGAAAATGAAATGGAGAAGACATTTCTAGTGTTTATACATAAAAGGTGTCTCTTCCTTGAGACTCCCACCCAGGAGACCCACTCCCAGGGCCACAAAGATGAGCTTGTGACTGGGGCTGGATCAATCATAGGTTGGCCACGCCCATTAGCCAAACTGAGCATGTGAGCCAATCAGAGTCCTCCATCTCCTTAACCATACCCATTAGCCCAGGGCTTGCCAGTGACCCAGGCTGAGCCTATCAGAGTTCCCTGGTCCTCTCAGTCATGCTCACTGGCCCAGGGTTAAGCACATGGCTGAGGGTGAATCCATCCGGATTTCTGATCCCCCCCAACCTGCAATCTGGATGATTTCACTTATGCGGCAAAGGACCAAGTAGACACACAAAGAACTTACAAACTTTTAGTAATGCATCGTGAGCTTGAGAAGTCAGATTCAGTCTCCTGGAGGCTGCCTGATCAATGATTCCCACAGCAGCCACCGCCACCTGATCAGGTGGGTGAAGATGCCTGTCCAAAGACAAAATTACAACAAATTTAGTTAAAGATATAATTGGCTTTTATTCACAATTTATGAATGGCGGCAGCCTCTATTCTACAAAATAGAAGAAAGGCTCCCACTGGGCAGTGACAAAATAGTGGGTTTTGTAAGGTGGGAACAAGGAAAGAGAACAATAGGAAAAAAAGCTTACTGGTTATGTCATAGTCAAATAAATATATATATATATATATATACGGACGAATCTCTAAGAAAACGTTTTATTTGGGGAAAAGAGAATTATAGTCTGGGACATACAAAGAGACTGAGGTGGTCTCTAGTATGTCCAAAGTATAAAGAAAGCATTGGGAGTTTTATTAGAGAAAGAAATGCTATGTATTGTTTTGAAAGAAAGCTCATTTGGCACTAGTGAAGTTTTTGGGAGTTGGCAGGCTTTGATTGGTGAGTGACGGCGGTAGGTAAAATTAATCTTGTAGTCAGCAGTTACTAGGTAAAACTAGTCTTAGGATTGCAGCAGGCTGTTTCTGCAGCTGGGCTTGTAGAAAATTTTTCTTGGAGTGGGTGCTAGGTTCCCCCAGTCTTTTTCCCCCTGGTCCCTTGACTCTGATTAGTTTGGGTATAACAGGAGTCACTCAATTTGTATAGCCAACTTTCACAGTTAACATCAGGTTACTTTTCCTGTAAATGGTTAAAGCAGAAGGGGCTTCCTTACTATGCTGACTCAGGTAGACTGGAATCTCTTGTTTTCAGGAAAAACGGGTCTGTTTGGGTATCTACCTGCTTCCTTAAAGTTTCACTTCCATTACGCGGCATTTAGCATGAGTGACTCCATTTTGGTCTGGTCTATTGGGGCCAGTGCAGGAGCTCAGTCCAAGCAATGGCCTCCCACAATTTTGTTTAACACCTCTAACATCTGTTCCTCCACCTGCGCTGCTGACCCTGTTGGGCTGGGCCCTGTGTGGGATGGCAGGGGAGATGCCCAGCAAAGAGCACAACAGATACGGGGCCTGAGGGGAGGGAGAAAGGGACAGAGGGCAGACAGGGATGGGAGAGAGTGTGGCCACCTTGAGCCCTTTAGGAGCCAGCTGCTTCACCGGGCTGACGACTACAGTCCTTCATCCATTTAACATGGTGTAAACAGTCACGTTCGTGGTTTATTTCCTGTTCCTCCCAGCATACTGTGGGGGCAGGCAGGTTTCTCTGTTCTCTTCCCTGCTATGTGCCTGGTTCTTAAGAAATATTTGTTGTGGTTCGAATGCATCATGTGAACACCTGCTTTTTCTTTTCTCTTTTTTAATAAACGTTTTAGTGGACTCTAACAGACTCACAGAAAAGACACATCACAAAGTGAATACCCCACACGGAGAAACAGGATATGGCCAGCTCTCAGAAGCTTTGTATTTCCCCTTCGGTCACTAGCCCCCACAAAGTCTATTATAAACAAAACTCTCGTCTGTTTTTCATCGGCTGGCCGGTAAGGGGATCCAAACCCTTGACCTTGGTGTTACAAAGCTGTGCTCTGACCAACTGAGCCAACCAGCCAGCCCCTATGTTAACAAAACTCTTAAATATTCATGTAATGTTGATGCACGTGAATATGTTTGCCCTCCATATCCATGGGTTCTGCATCCAGATTCAACCACTTGCAGATCGAAAATATTTTTTAAAAAGCAAACAAAAAAACCAACCAAAAAAACCCACTACGTCTGTACTGAACACATAGCCTTCTTTCTTGTCATTACTCCCTAAACACAGTATAACAACTATTTACATACTATTTACATTGCATTAGGCGCTATAAGTAATCCAGAGAAGACTTAAAAGTTCTGTATATGGGAGGATGTGCATCCGTTATACACAAATACCGTGCCCTTTTATATCAGGGACTCGAGCATCCGGGGATTTTGGTATCCGTGGGAGGTCCTGTAACCAATCCCCCATTGATACCTAGAAATGACTGTATGTTTTAACTAAACCGAGAGTATACACAGCAAAACGGGAAAAGCCCCAGGCCGCCTCCTGTTCATTACCAGCTAGGAAGAGCAGTCCCCAAGATTTTAAGTCAGGCCGTCTCATTCCAGCCTGTACAGATGGGCGTTTGGAAGTGGGAGTGCTGAAGCGAAGGCTGCGGGACGCTGCCGCCCTGCCCGCCATTAAAGCGCTGCTGCTCTGTGCTCCCATTAACCACGCAAATGAGTAGGGTTCCCCCCAACCCCACCCTCAGCTCCTAGGATAGGAGGAGAATACCCCACCCCTCCCCTCTTCAGAGTCAGCCCGCGTGTCCTCCCCGGGGACGGGGGCGCCAGGTTACTCCTCACGCGGACGTGTATTACAGCCGGTAGTGGCCGCGGGCGCCCACCAGAACCGGATGCCTGAGCGCTCCCATTGGCAGGAGGCCCGGAGGGCGGTGGCTCCCATTGGCCTGCGGCCAGAATGCCTTCATTGGTCGAAGCCCCGCTGGGCGGAGGCTCCTATTGGTCGGGTGCTGCGGCTCACCGCACGGCTTTCTGGGAGTTGTAGTCGCAGCGTCGCCGGCTCAGCCGCCATTGTCCGGCGGGTGGCTAGTCGGGTGGTCCCCTTGTTGGGGGCGGCTCTGTGATTTGGGGGTCGCCTCGGGCGGCTGTCCTCAACTCGTCGGCCCAGGATGGAACCCGAAGACGAAGCGGCAGCAGCAGTGATGGCCGCGGGGCTACCGGCGGCACGGCTTCAGGTGACGATAATAACAATAACGATGGTAGCAGGCTCCCGGCCAAGCGTCTTCTCCCTTTAGCCTTGCGACGCGCGATGCGGAAGACACAGCCGTTATACCCTTTACACACGGGGAAACAGGCGCAGGTTGGGGCGTGGCGACTGGGCCGGCCGGTCAGGGGTGGAGTAGGGATTCGGAGTCGGGATTCGAACCTGGGCCTTTTGGTCCCCGACTGCGCATGCTCGGTGTCGTGGCCTCCCTTTCCTCTGGTGGGGCTGGGGGTAGTTCCCGAGGAGGACTGGGCGGGCCTAGCTCCCGCCTTCAGCTCCGCCCGCGCCGACACTCTTCCCCCCGCGTGAAGGGGTCGTCCCCCGTGGCGACGGGTAATAGTAACGGAGTCGGCCCGTCGCCGAGATGGCGGGGGTTTATAGAATTTTATCGAATAGAGATGCTCTAATGTGTTGAGTCAGCAGACCCCACGGGGACCCCCGCACTACGACGCCCCTACCCTGGAGATCGGCACACCTCTTGGGGGTAAGGCCAGGTCACCAAGGACCGAGTTAGTGTGTTGGGAAAGACTACCACGGTCACTCCCTGCGGGGCTATGGAAGAACTACGGTCCTGGGCGGTCAGTGTGTGTTAGGGCCATCTAGCCATCAAAGCTCCAGCACTTCTAGACAAAGTGGCCGCTGCCTGCATTCTTAAAGTGCTGCCTCCACATGGCAGGAACCAAAAATAATTCGTATTTCCACAAGTTCTGCAACTTTGAGATTATCTACTTTCGTGTGTGTGTGTGGGGGGGGGGGATTGTTTATGGGGATTTGCATGATTTCAGATTTGGTATACAATGTGAGACTATTGATAATCTTATATTGCAGGTTTTCAGATGTTTAGTTTGTCCTTAATGTGGTTGAGGGGCAGGGAATGAGCAGTAAGAAAGCTTTGAGAAGAAGTGTATTAGTTATCTGATGCTGTGTAACAAACAACCCAAAACTCAGTGGCAAGCAATGATAAATATTATCTCACAATTTCTGACAGTTAGGAATTCTGGAATGACTTAGCTGGTGGCCCAGGCTAATGAGGTTATAGTCAAGACATCAGCCTACCTGTTGGCACCTGACTCTTGATGGAGGCTAGAGGATCCACTTCCAAGATGGCTCACTCAAATGGCTGTTGGCAAGAGGCCTTAGTTCTTCTCCATGTGGGCCGCCCTATGGAACTGCTTGTGTGTTCTTACAACGCGGCTTCTGGCTTCCTACAGACGAATGATCTGGGAGAGGGCAAGGTAGAAGCTGCAGTGCCTTTTGTGACCTGGGCTCATAATTCACACTCTTTCATTTTCTCAGTACTCTATCAGTTACACAAGTCAACTTTGCTCAGTATAGGAGCGGACTGCTCAAGGCTGGGGAGCATTGGGGAGCCATCTTGGAGCCTGGCCACTACAGGCAGCAAGGACCAGAAGTGGAGTGCTTCAAGATTTTAGTTGTCTGTGGCTGCTGTAACAAATCATTGCAAACTTGGAGGCTCAAAACCACACACACTTATTCTTACAGTTCTAGAGGTCAGAAGTCTAATATCGGTTTCACTGTGCTGGAATCAAGGTGTGAGCAGAGCCATCCTTCCTACTGAGGCTCTAGGGGAGAATCTGTTTCCTCGCCGTTTTCAGCCACTAGAACTGTAGACGTTTCGTTCCTTGCCTGGTGGCCATTTGTCCGTCTTCAAACCCAGCAGTGTAGCATCTTGCTTCAGTGGTCACATTGTCTTCTGTGTTCTATAGTCAAACCTCCCGCTGTCTCCCTTTTATAAAGACACTTGTGATTGCATTTAGGACCCACCTGGATAATCCAGGATAATATCCCCTAGTTTTAAAATCCTGATCACATCTGCAAAGTCCCTTTTGCCGTATATGGTAATATTCATAGGTTCCATAGGATCTGGATATCTTTGGGGGCTGTAGTTAGCCTGCCATAGTCAGGCTGAGAGGGGTCATCCCGTACTCAAAGGTGAGAAGGAGCCATTGAAGCGTTTTAAGAAGTACGAGTGTGGGGTTGGAAAAAAAAGCACTCAGGCATCGGGGGGTAGGAGTAAGAGAGATACTGAGAGCTGAACTAAGGCAATGGAAAAAAGAGATCTGAGAACAGCCTCTCCCCTCCAGGCCCCAGCAGTGCCGGGCAAGTGGAGGGCTGCAGGGATCTGAGGTAGAGCAGCTGGGAAGGTCATGAGACAGACAGGAGTGGACTCCTGTTAGATTCTAAGAAGGAAGCCAAGAGAAGGAGTGAAGGACCTGTGTCATGCCACTGGGAGGTCTCATGGCCTGGACAGACCAGTACCAAGTGGATCTGGTGTCTGGGCTGTCACCAGAGATCCTGCAAAGTGGGTGATAATGGCAGGTGGGAGCAGGAGGCACAGGAAACATGTATCAGGGTTGGTGGATGTTCTGAGTGGAAGGCGAGGATGTGGGGACAGGAGTAGAAACCTCTGTTCCCAACCAAACGCTTCTATATGTTTCCTGTTAGAGTCACATGCCACCTGTAATAAAATTTCTTTAGTATTTTTAAATCTACTCATGCTTTTTTAAAAGGAAATACCCTTTTTAAATTGAAGTATGTGGTGTGTGGTTTTGATTTGCATTTCCCTGATGACTAAAGATGTTGAGCATCTTCTCATGTGCTTATTTGCCATTTGTATATCGTCTTTTATATCTTTGAAGAAATATCTGGTCAGATTATTTGCCCTTTTTAATTGGGTTGTCTTCTTATTGAGTTGTAAGAGTGTTTATTTTTTCAATTTTTCTATACTTTGGTCGGGGGGGGGGGTTGTTTGTTTTTTGGGTTTTTGTTCATTTGTTTTTGGCAGCTGGTTGGTACAGGATCCTAGCCCTTGACCTTTATATTTTGTTGCATGTGCATTTGGTTTTATAGCTAAGAATCCTTTGCCAAATCCAAGGTTACAAAGATTTATTTCTATGTTTTTATCCAAGAGTTTTATAGTTTTAGCTTTTATATTTACATCTTTGATCTGTTTTGAGTTAGTTTTTAGTATATGGTGTGAGGTAGGAGACTGCAGTGGTTTGAATATGTCCCCTGAATTTCATGTGTTGGAAATTTAATCCCCAAATTCATATGTTGATGATATGTGGAGATGGGACCTTTGGGAGGTAATTAGGATTAGATAAAGTTATCAGGGTGGGACCCCTATAATGTGTCTGGTGGCTTTATAAGAAAAGGAAGAGAGACCTGAGCTGGCATGTTTCTGCCCTTTTGCCGTGAGATGTCCTGCACCATGTTATGGCACAGCAAGAGGGCCCTCTCCAGAAGACAGCATCTTGATATTGGAATTCCCAGCCTCCAGTACTGTAAGAAATGAATTTCTTTTTCTTTATGAATTACTCAGTCTGTGGTATTCTGTTACAACTGTAGGAGACAAACTAAGACCAGGGACCATCTTTGTTCTTTTGCATGTGGCTATCAAATTGTCTTGTAGGAAGAGTTTTTTTTTTTTTTGTCTTTTTCCGTGTCTGTCAACGGATCGCAACCCTCAGTGTCGCCCCCGCACCGGACCGGGACCGGCAACGGGATCGCAGCCCTCGGCATTGCTCCCGCGCCTCGCTCAGCCAGTGAGCGGGAACCAGTCTGTATGTGGGATCCAAACCCTCGGCGGGAGCGCCACCGCACTTCGCAAGCAGCGCACTATAGCAGTGCGCCACCGGGCCGGCCCAGGAAGAGTTTTTCAGTTAATTAATCCCTATCACAGCCTCAATGGGTGGTGCTTCGTAGACATGGAAACTGGGAGGCCAAGGGGCATATGTACTTGGTGCCTTTTGGGGAGGAAGTGGCTGAGCTAAGAGTGATCCAGAAGCATATGGCTTTCAAGCATGAACGTACCCAGCCCACAGAATGGTTCTGTTTGTGGGACGTGTTTTTGATATGTTATATCAACTTATAAAAACTAGAATTTTTTACATAAAAATCTGATCTAAATTACAGCTTCCCCTCCAAAGATTGGCCATTCTGACCACATGGGGCCTATATTGCCCCACAGTCAGTCAGTTTTGAGTCCCTGCTGCCCCTTCAGTCAGGACACATACCCCCTATCACCTCCAGCCCCGCCACTCACAGGGTAAGTGCCCTTGTGGCTCTTAAACTGGCCCTCTTCAGTGATGTGAGCCCAACCGTACACTCCTCTTTTCAGGAAAGATGATGAGCCTCATTTGTGTCTAAGAATTACTGAGTATATCAGTTAGTTGTTGCTGTGTAACAAACTATCCCAAAACTGAGTGTCTTAAAACAGTAGCCATTTCTTTAGCCCACAGACCTGCAAGTCAGTGGTTTACTCCGGTCTCTGTTGGCACCCTTACCTGTCTGATCAGTTGTAGGTCAGCTGTGGTTGTCTTTGTTGATCTGCTATGTCCTCACATATGTCGTTACTGTACAACCCACACCTACATGTAGCAGCCTAATAGGTGCTCAGTGAGGCCTGACTCATCACTCAGAATGTTTACTTTCTCAGGACACTGGCCTGCCTGTTTTCTCTTTCCCCATTCTTCCTCTGCCAGAGAGCACTGATGGGGACAATGCAGCTGATTGAGAATGTGTGTGATGTTTCAGGAGCCAGTGACCTTCCGGGATGTGGCTGTGGATTTCACCCAGGAGGAGTGGGTGCAGCTAGACCCTACTCAGAGGACCTTGTATCGCGATGTGATGCTGGAGACATTCGGGCACCTGCTCTCTGTGGGTAAGGCCTGTTTCCCAAGCTGCAGTGACTGATTCTTCCTGGTCTATAGATTGTGGGGCCTTTGCGTGATGACCTGACCTTAGGTCCTCATTCCCTGTGGGGCATGCATGCAGGGGGATGTCTGCCCTTTTCTGTCCCAGTGCAAAGCCTTCATCTTGTTGTGAGGTGTCCTGTGTCCTGATGGTCAGGAGTCTGGGCTGGAGCCTGAGCTGGTTTTTTTCTCTCCAGAGCAGCCCCCCACTTCCTGTGTCTTTCCCTGTTTCCAGGTCCTGAACTTCCCAAACCTGAAGTCATCTCCCAGCTGGAACAAGGGGCTGAGCTATGGGTGGCAGAGAGAGGAATCACCCAGGGCCAACATCCAGGTGAGAATGCACCAAGTGGGAGCCCCTAATGGGAATAGTCCAGGGGTCACTGAGATCCACTTCATGGAAAAGTTGGTGTTTCCGGGTCCTCAAGACCACCTCATTCACTAGGAGCTTACAGGACTTAGTATAGAGTCATGGCTATGATTGATTATAGCAAAGGAAAACAGAGCAAAACCAGCAAAGGGAAAAGGTACATGGGGCAAAGCCCAGAGGAAACTAGACATGAGCTTCCTGAGTCCTCTCCCTGTGGAGTCACACAGCATGTGCCTAGTTTCCCCCTGACAGAGAGTTGTGACAACATGTGAGAAATGTTAACTACCAGAGAACCTTGCTAGAGACTCAGTGCCAGGGGTTTTTACTGGGGGCTGGTCACATAAACACCCTCTCCTAGCACGTACCAAGATTCCAGAGTCCCAGGAGAAAGCCAGTGTTCAGAATAAGCCGGTGTTCATGTGCACGGTGTGGGTGCAGTGAACCGTTCTTACCAGTTAGGGTGGTGGGAACCCTCTACAGATCCAAGTTTTCATATGCAGCCAGGCGCCAATCTTGCAAGTAGCCCTCTTTAAGAATGGTGGTCTCAGGCCTGCCCTGTTAACTCTCTTCTGTATGGTCCTCCCTAGCCTTCTCCTCTGTGCTCCCCTGCCTCTGAGCTCAGAGACCAATTCGCCTCTTCAGTGCTTGGAATCCCTCCATCTCTGCTCTGTCTTTCTTTCCATGTGGTTCCCTCTCTCACCAGCTTCCCCTGTATGCCCTTTCTGTAGGATCATTTCTGAAGTGTGAACCTGCCTTTCGTCTTCTCCATTTTGTTCTCGCATGTCCAGATTCTGTAAACCTTTCTCCACACCCCTCTTCTATTCTCTTATCAGTAACTATTGTATTTAGCTGTGAATACCTTAGAGCCAGGTTAGAGCAGCTCAAAAAAAGAGGGAAACATTTTTCTCACAAAGCAGGAACCCTAGGGCCAGCCCGTGGCTCACTTGGGAGAGTGTGGTGCTCACAACACCAAGTCAAGGGTTAAGATCCCCTTACCAGTCATCTTTTAAAAAAAAACACACAAAGAAACAGGAACCCTGAGTCTGCTGGAGCTGGCTCAATATCTCAAGAGATGCAGGGACCAATGGATCTATGATTCTCCTAGGCTTTCCTTGGGGTTACAGTTTGGCTGCAGCAGCTCCAGCCATCACATCTGTGCTCCAGGCAGGAAGGAAGAAAGGAAGTGGGAAGAACAGAGACAACCATATCTGTCCCCTTTTGTCAGAACACTGGATGTCATCCATTGGGGTCTCTTTGGTCAGGACTAGGTTACTTACACCTGCCCTGACCCTAGTTGCTAGGGAGGTTGGAAAAGTGAGTCTAGATTATCATAATTGACTTAAGCAAGTCACAGTTTCTTCTCTGGGGCTGGTGTGTTAGTACCTAACCACATTCTGGAAGAAGTAGGACATGGCCACAGGAGGTACAACCAGCAGTGCCTGCAGATAAGCTTCTTATCCAAATGCTTCTTTTTTTTTTTTTTTTTTGTTTTTTGTTTTTTTCCGTGTCCGGCAACGGATCGCAACCCCCCGGTTTGCC